TGGGTGGTTCTGCAAGGGATAGTGAGAGAAGTTGCCTGGGGTGAGAGACCTCTACGGTCTCCTGGTTCCAGGCAAGTCAGACGATGCTCCCCTGAGGTTCCTGCTCTTCTTTGCTGGCCTCCCAGACCATCTAGCTTTAGAACATCCCTCCACCGCCAAGAACATTCCTTCTCTTTCTTTATTTGACACATTCTCACTGCTCTATGTGTCATTAAGCCCAGAGGGGAAACTAAGTCAGGAGATGGTAAATTACTTCTGAGAGTGGGAAAGAGCCTTGAATGTCCAGCCACCCCACCACTGCGCAGGAACCAAAGACTCCTCAAGTCAGGGCTCCACTGTGTGTCCATTAGCATCACCTGGAGCCCATTGTGTTCATTAGGTCCCAACCAGTGCTGGTCTCAGAAACCCCAAACTGGCCATCAGCCCCTCCTTTTGATGGTAACTGAAGTCATTTACACAGACAATAGGGCGGACTCAGCAGGGCTTTTTCATCACATACATTATTCTAATAGAAATGCATACTGCGACCCAGGCTTTGTGACGGTCCATTTTAGAATACTTTGCAGAGCAAATCAATTGTGCAGTGAGCCATCAGAGAAGGTGCTTTTTCCTCAGCAGAATGTGCCAGCTCTCTCAAAACAGCCAGAGCCCAGCCAGGCCTCAGCTGTGAGAGGGGTGCTGGGCACCCCTCCTTCTGAGCCCATGGTGGCTGACAGAGGAATCTGAGACATGGGGCCCATCTGTCAAATGCCTTTTCTCCACTCCGGCCATTCTGTCTTGTCCTCTCTCCAAATAATTCCTATTTCCTCAGTCCACGTTCAGACACACCTTTGTGTCAGCTACTTAAGATCATGAAGTGAACTTAATTAGCTTTGTCAGCCCCTAAGGCTGGCCGGGTGGCAAATAAGGCGTCACATTCACTGTCCATTAGTGGTCTGTGATCTAAACTAGATTGAGCATTTTTTCAAGCTGTGTGTGAGCAGCACCAGCACTTTCTACACAGAGATCAACCAGAATCTGGAAGATGCCCAGTTCTAAGGCCACCCCTCAGCCTCGCCCACTGACCTAATGGCCACCTTTCAGAATCCCCCAGGGCCAACTTTCAGCAGGCCTCTTTGTCAAGCTGTGCGGCCTGGAGTCAGGGCCTGATTCTTTATGAAAAGCCAGGCTTCATCTGGGATCTCCAGCCAGAGCTGTTTTAGCAACAAGTTCCAAACTCCACCAGTTGGGGGGGAAAAGATAAAAGCCAACAACAGCCCATTCAATTAAGTGTCTTCTTTGGAGAAACCAAAGCAGCGTTGAGCAGTTGTGAACCATTGAAGGGCAGGGAGTGACATCTGCAATGCTGAGGGCGAGAAAGAGGGAGCTCATCTTAAGAAGCACAGATCAGAGAGGGAGCTGGAGGAGCCGAAGACTGCCTCTTCCCTTCTCCCTTCCCAGCCGCCCACGGAGAGGGAGGGCAGGGATTTTCTGGACATGGGGGCTTGGTTCCCTTCCCCCACACAGAGCTAAGGCTTTGGGGCAGGGTCAGCAGAGTAACCTATATGTTCATTACACCACCTAGCGCCTGTGATCCTGACAGGGATGGACTGGCTTTCCCTCAAACCCAGAGCAGCTCACCTGGTACCTGCTAGAACTTTCCCTCAGACCCGGAGCACTCCACCCAGTGCATGCTAGAACTTCCTCTTCATCCCAGAGGAGTCCCCGGGGTATATGCCAGAACTGAGGCCTGAGGCCATAGCCCACTCTGGAGAGTAGCCTGGTGTCTGCATTGGGGTGAGAGGGGAGGGGAGGGGTCAACAGAAAAGAGTGGTTGGGCCAGGATGACTGTGAGAGCCTTGAGGAAGCCTCACCCACTTCCATCAGGGAGAGGCTGAGCAGAGCCAGGAGCAATCCCTTCTTCACCTGAGGTTAGGGTAAAGACCCACAACCAGCTACCATGCAAAGTAGAGTAACCTGAATCTGGTGGCCCCAGGGGCCACCTCTTGGCCAGTGAACCCCCCCACAGAAAAGAAACTCCTAGATGGTTCTGCTGTCTCCTTCCTGTCCCATCTCCTACCAACCCCAGACCCCACTCCCAAACTGCCTCTGCTTCACCCCTGCCCTCCCACACCCTTTGCCCCACCTGTCCCTTCCCTGTAACCTCTAGAACCTGGAGCTTGAAGGGAAGAGTTGGCTTCCTAGATAGACAGAGGAAGCAATGTGTGTTTACAGCTGATGCGACATCTGATTGAGTCTTCCCTGATTATTGTGAGTGTTCCTGACTCAAAATATGTGCAATTCCAAGTGTCAATCAAACTCTTTTAAACAGCAGCTGTCACCGCTGTTGCCTTACAGAGCACTTAGAAACTATTCTATTTAGAAACCATCTGAGCCCCAGCCTGCATCAGGTCGTCCATGCTAAGAGTCCCAGTGGCTGGTTGAGAACTTTGCAGCTCTAATCTCTCAATAATAAAGCAGGTAGGAGGGGAGATGTTCAGTTTCTCCAGAAGGGCCCATTTAGGGGGAAACAGGAGTTTTTGTCCCCCTCCCCCCATGCTTGATAGGCACACATGTATAATTTACTGGCTCAGGCATCCCAGGCCTATAGAGATGGCACACCCATGATGCAGCTCAGCATTGAAATCAGTGCCCAGGGTGGCCCTTGGCCTACGGATGTCAGATTAGGGATGATCTAATAAAAAAGGGGAGACTAAGGAAGGTGGTTGTGGGCCCCTTACCCATGGTTGTGTGGGAACATCAGGCAGCTCTGCCTACTGTGTCCTGGGACACTGAGGCTCCAGCCAGGAACTCAACTATGGACCACGTGCCCCAAGGAGATCTGGGGAATGAGAGCTGTAATTGTGCCAAGACTCAGAGAAGCTACTGAAGGTGTGTGATACACCCATGCCTCTCATCATCTCCACCTCCTTCCACACCTCTCACACCTTAGCCAGAGGGGCCCTGACTTGCTCTGAGACATCCCTCACTCCAGTTCCTCTACTAGGAATGCCCTCTCCTCACTGTCCTCCATCCCCACACTCACACCTTTGAGTCCTTTTCTTTTTTCAACACCAACTTAAATATCACCTCCCCTGAGAAATGCTCCCCACCTCCCAAACCTGGTGGGCTTCCTCCTTTCTCTGAGCTCTTAGAGGATTTTATTCACACCTCATGTGGCATTTACCTCCCTCTACCTATTCTACACTGATGTATGTATACACTCTTCATCTCCCCACTAGATTGTAAGCAATTTGAATGCAGTATTCCTTTTGGATTTCTCTTAGAATCCCCCATAGGCCTGTGTCCTGTGCTTCCTCTGCCCTCTATGTCCCGCTATCTCCCACCCATCAGTCTCCCATTCCTGACAATGCTCTGGTTTTCTGCTCTTGCTACCCCTGGCTGCCAACCTATTGTGTGGGTTCCTTCTCTCTCTCCTTTGTACTGACAGCTTTATTGAGCTATAGGTGTGCATGTTGACAACTTTTAACAAATGCACAGTTGTACAAAGAGCACCACAATCCAATGTTAGAATATTTTCATCCCCCCCCCCCCGAAAGAACCCTGAGCTAGTTTTCAGTCAATACCTCCTGACTCCCAGCCATAGGCAACCATTGATCTGCTTTCTGCCTATAGATTTGCCTATTCTAAATATATATATATTTATTTTCAACACAGGAGCTTCCCCCTGGTGATCAATGTGCTCCCACAGGGGGAGCACTGCTCAGCCAGAAGCTGGGTTCATGGCTGGAGAGCATAGCAGCAGTGGCCAAAGCAGGGAGCAGGTGTAAGTCGGCAGTCATACATCCCCTGAGGGGTTCTGAACTACGAATGGCCACAGGCCAGGCTGAGGGGACCACCATTCTCCTCCCCCCTGCGACTCCCCCTGTGCATGAATTTTATGCACTGGGCCTCTAGTTTCATATAGATGGAGTAATTTCTATGAATAGGATAATGAGATATTTAACTTATTGTCTGATCTCTTTAACTCAGCATAATGTTTTTCAGCTCCATCCAATTTACAGCCTGTATCTGGTCCATCCTTTTATATTGGGGATGGGCATTCCATGGAACAGCCATCCTACATGTGGTTAACTCAGTCACCCATTGGGACATAGGCTCCCTCTCTTGATATTTTACACCCACACCAGAGACTGCACGGCCTCCTGCAGGTTATTCTGGATTGACTTTGAAGGGAGGAAAGGTTTTTAAAGCTCTCAGGAAACTCTCACTTCACAGCAGGAAAGATATGGCTGACAGTTTCCAGAAGGACGGCTCCCCAGGATACAAATGAACTGAAGATGAGTTTGTTTGTTTGTTTGTTTGTTTTTTAGCCTACTCTCAAGCCTTCCCTGGCCACAGTCCTTGACCTGCAAGGCTATGAGAGGTGGAAAGTGATATCTCAGTGTGTTTACTATTAATACTTATGGCCCACTCTGTGTTGTTTACAAACACCCCCAAGGCTCAGAGTCAAATCATTTAATATGTAACAACCAGTTGGGCACCACACAGACCAACTCCAGTGGGAACTGATGCTGGATACCAAATCCTTGAGACCCCTGCTGTGTGAAATCTAGGGGGCACCAGGAAAGAGCCAGGTGGCCTAAAGCTGCAGGAAGGGGCCTGTCAGGGGACAGTGGCTCTTTCTCAGTTTGTACAGAAGCATTTTAGTATTTTAACAATGACTTAGACCACACTGGGAACATCAAGCCTACCCATGTCCACCCATCCTGCACACCCAGAAAGTGAAAGCTCTCCTAGAGGTCCCAGGAGTTCTAGACCTGAGCCCCAAACTCCAAATTGATTAACATGTGGAACAGTCCCTCGGAGAGGGCAGTGCATTGTGCTGGACAAGTGGGGGGAGATGTTGACTGCCTCCTCGGACAGTCGCTCTGAGACAGGGAAGGCTGATGAACAGTGATCATGTGAAGGGTCTTGGCACCCGTTTGCTGGACGCTGGGTCCTAAGATGTGGCCAAGCCAGGTTGTTCCTCACACACACTCCTCTTAACACATGTACAGGTTCTGGCTGCAGATTGTCGTATGGTGGGGACAAGGATCCAGAGCCACCGTGGCTTTTGACAATATCTCCATCAGCCTGGACTGCTACCTCACCAGTGAGTCCGCCCTGCCCCCAGCACTTGTTCCCACCCAGACTACCCGGGTTCACTGTCCTTCCTTCACCTAAGCCACTTTCTCCCACCTTCCCTTGAGGCATGCTCACCTCCCTACAGCGGAGCCTCACTTAAGTCAACCAATGGGATCTTATCTATTCCAGTCAGTGGGGAGGACAAGATGCTGCAGAATACAGCACCCAAGTCAAGAAATCTGTTTGAAAGAAACCCTAACAAGGAGATGAAACTTTGGGAAAATATACCAAGAGAGACCCCCCTCTTTGACCCTACAGGTAAGAGTTCAACTTACTAATATTAGCAAAGTAATTATTTGTTGCAAAAGGCAGAAGAAAGATGGGTGCTATGATTGAGATGGGGAGCTAAGTTTAAAGAATAAGAAGTCAACCTGTAAAAGGAACATTACTTGCACTTTGGTTATGGACCTCCAAGAAGAAGCTGGCTCTCTTACTACAGAACTTCTGAAAGGTGTGCGAAGGAGCACTCCTTCATGCATAGGGAACACCCAGGCGCTGGCACAAACAGAGAACCAGGCTGACCTCGCCTCAACTCAGCCCCCTAAAACCAGTCTCTATTCACTGAACAAAGCAAACCTTCTATCAGATCTTTCCTCCACATAAAGAGGGTTGGGCCCAAGGCCAAGGTTACCTATTGCAAGAAGGCAAGCTAGCCCATCCTGGGGAAACCCCCCAGGGCATCAGGTTCAACACATGTCCCCAGAGCTTGGCTCCCATCAACGCTGCTTGACTCAGCAGTCCTGGGATGAAGGACTGCTTGAGGGGGCTCTGCTGCTTCCAACACAGGCCTCTTCAGCCTCGTGCCCTAAACCATGGCAGTGACTTCCCAGCTTCTCTTTGACCAGGGCGTCCTTTGGGGTCAGTCTCAGACCCCAGAGTGATGTTCCTCAGCAGCTATTCACTCCATGAGCCAGCAGCCCCAGGGAAGCTGATGAAGGCCTCTGGGCCACACCCACAGTCAGGGTTCCCCAGGTAAGCAGTAGGCCTGGGCACTGAGGCTTCTTCTAACATAAGTAACCGGGAGACACTCTTCCTCCTGTAATAGGTGATACGGATAAATGATAAACCTCTCACTTCTGTTTATAAATGTGCAATCCTTGTTTACTGCAAATCACATTGAATGCATTGACTCTCAACATATTAAGTATTAGCTTTGCTTTGTGCTTGCTGTCATTCTTCCTTTCCTCCGAAAAGCTACCCCAGAACTAACTATCCCGTCCTAGCTCCTGCCTGACCTCACAGCTCCAAACCAGGGGAAAAGTTCATGGCTTCTCCCATTACCTCCCCCTTCCTCTCTTCTCCTTTAACGGGAAGCTCAAAATACCTTTCCAGTTTTCCACGCTGTAATCTCTGTTTCCCAACCCTGCCTCGTGGTTCATGGCTCATTGAAACCATCTAACACAAGGGAGGACCTGCTTTCATCGTTCAATGGCCTTCCCCGCACCTCACCTCATAAGGGAGCAACTATCTCCCTGACTTCCCAGTCCTTGGTCAACCATGGCTCCTGTGATAAACTCAGGACATTCTAAGCAAACGTCACAGCAAGCCACTGCCTGCCTAACCACCAGCACCTGTTACACGCAGGGGTTCTGGAAACACTTACTGATTGATTGGTGGACACTTAATGCTTGGGCTCGGTTCTCAGATGTCAGCTGCTGGCTCCCCTGCAGCCAGCATTCGGAAACCTGCCATCCACCCTGCCTGACTCGGGTTTATTGCCATATAACTCCCACTGTCCCTAAAGGGCTGGTCGATAAGGGCCTGGCCAGTGGCCACTCAGACTAATGAAATCACACAGCGGCTCAAAAGCGTTGGTACTCCCCTACCACCTCCAGATAAAATCAGAAGTGAGTGGCTGCCTGATGGCTGGAGGTGACAATGGCTGGGACACAGCTTCCTCTACTGAGTGGCCCAGCCTCAGAGCAGGGTGATGGGCAGATGGCTTTGGGTCAGCACTGGTTCTTCAGACCCCCTTTTGGAGTAACCCCAACTCAAAGGAAAGAGGACACTGAGCCCCTGGGAGGTGTTAGAGAGCCCCATAAAGAGTTAGTGCTTCCCCAGGACCCACTGTCAGATCAGGGAGCAGCTCAGGTGAGGGAGAAGCCGAGGCAGGCTTCCAATACCCCTTCCCCTGCTGTGTGTTTCAGTAGCAGGAAGCATCTCTCCCCCAGCCTGACAGACTCCCAGTCCCACCTTGCTGTGGACTCTAGCAGTGTGGTGGGGGCCCCTGTCTTCATCGAGAGGATTTATAGGGGGAGGGGAGCAGGGCTTCCTTTCCCCACCACCCACAAGATAAGGTCCACTGGGCCCTCTGCATCAGCACTGGCCAGGACTCAGGCTCATGGTCAGGGAGAGGAGGCTGACTGCCCCTGGATCCATGTTGAGTCCACAGTTCCAACAGAATCCTCTGAGGGCAGAAATGCTGAGCAGGACCAGATCCAGGCCAGGATCTCAGAGAACTCACAGGTTAGAAAAAGGAGAGAACGGGTAGACAAGGATTACATCCAGTTACACGCCTATGGCAAGAGGAGTTCTGCAGAGGAGGATCCTGAGGGAGGAGGGTCCTGAAGGAGGGGGATCCTGGAGGAGAGGGGGTCCAACGGGCTCATGGAGAGGCCTGGGTCAGGGCCACACCCACTCAAATAATCGGCAGGCAAACACTGGCCTGACACCTGCCTTCCATGCGCCCAGCACCACAGGGACAAGGTGAGCTTCTGGCCCAAAGGAGCCACGTGGCCTGGGAACAGGGAGACCACAGTCTGCAACTTCATCCAAACGTAGAGCTCCTACCAGGAAGGCCCCCTAGAGAGGACAGGAGGGCTGGGGCCCCGAGGGGAAGGGAAGGGGAGGAAAGGAGTAATCCATGAGCACACCTGACCCTGGCTAGGGTGTTCCACACATCAGCTCCTCCCGTCCTCACTGCCCAGGGACAACTACTGTGTTCCCACTGTAGGGAGGAGGAGGAGGAGGATCTGGAAGATTATTAGTGGCCCACAGCTGGTAAGGAAGGGGGCCTGAAATCTACATTTTTTTCAGCCAGCTGAGCTACTTCTGAGTGTCCAAGTCTCCAACCACAGATCAACACCAAAAAGGAAAAAGAGGGTAGTGTGTCCAGTTGAGAGCCCCTACGTGACCAGTAAACAAATCAGTTGTCAGAGGAGACAAGATAAAATTTTCTTCCAAAGCTCAGCGCTGTCTGTTTCTGCTGGGCTGGAACGGGGCGGCTGGCTAGGGCACCGCCTGGAAACGCAGAGGCAGTTTCAGGAGATTCACTCACAGAGCTTCCAAATCTGCCTAAACATGCCTAATCCCCCCTTCCCCTGCCTCTCCAGCCAGCCGTCCCTTCCAATGAGGGCCTGGCAGAGAAAAGCCCTGCCAGGTGCCTCTCGAAGCATTCTCGAAAGCCTGAGTCACTAGCTAATCAGAAAGAAAGGAAAGAAAAAAAAAAGAAGAAAAAAAAACAGAGAAAATGGGATAAGTATTAAGTCTGAGAAAATTACATTTGTCAGCTTTGCACATACAATTACACTAACCAAATGGTTGGGATAATGCAATCACTGAGCTCTGGAGCGCTCGCCCTCTCTCTAATGAGCATTAGTGGTGAGGAGGTGGGAGCGGGCTCTGCCGTCCTGTCTCTCTGAAAGCCCAGGTAAGGACAGGCGATCCTGCCTCTGCTTCCTTAAACCTCTCTCCTCCGGCTGTGTAGGGAGAGTGGAAAAGGATCAGCTCAGTCTAAGTGAGAACCAGGCTAAACCTTGGGCCCAACCCAAAAGTCACTACAACTCACGGAGTCCTGGCTCAAACCACAGTCTTGCCTCTGAGTTATTATAGTTGGTGACCGTTGGTTTACCGTTTTCTGAGTGGGATCATGAAAATAGCACTGGACCGGGAGTCAGAACCCCTGGCCTCGCCTGGGGGGGAGGGGCCTGCACTAGCCAGCTGTGATGCTGGGCGTAAGGAAGCCCCAGCTCTCTAATTAACCCAGGACACGGTGGATGTGCCCAGAAGTGAGGGTGACAGACCTTCCGTCCCCACACACGCTCCTGTGATTCAAGAACAGATGCCAATTCCAATGAGAAAGTTTTATGTGTTTCATATAAATTGATTGGGTCTATTTCTGCTAAACGCATTATCCATTCACCCCAGAACAACTATTAGAGTTAATAGAATTTGTAGCGAGAGCCATTATCATCCAAGCACGCCTTCTGGGGATGACGGCATTGCTGGAAAGCAGGCTGTGTGGGGCCGGCCACTCGCTCAGAGCCTGGCCTTTTACGCACTGGGGTCTTTGTTCCAGTGCAGCCTTCTACACTCAGGCCCCGCAGGCCCAGCCAGGCTCACCAGCAGCTGTGGTGGGCTCTCTCATGTGCAGTCTCTCAGTTACTGGTGCTATCTGATCCCCTTTTACAGACAAGGTGACCAAGGCCCACAGAGATTAAGTAACTGTGCCCTAAATTTTACAACTGATGTAAAAGGCTAAAGAGTGGATTTTTTTAATTGCATAGAAAGCTAAAATCTTCTAAGCCAAATAACATTTGGAAGGATACAGTCGTGATAAATTTTAAAGCAGGGATGGGGAAACTTTTCTACCAAGGGCCATTTGTATATTTATAACATTACTAGAGGCCCAGTGCATGAAAATTCATGCACTGGAGGGAGGGTCCCTCAGCCTGGCCTGCCCCCTTTCACAGTCCAAGAGCCCTCAGGGGCGGGAGGTGACCAGGCGATCAGGGGAAGGCAAGGCCCCCATCACACCTCTGCTCCTGCCACTGCCAACAGTGCAGGCCTTGGCCAGCCCTTGTTACCTGAGCCTCGAGCGGCCCTGGGCAGCTGGACAGCCACCATCTGAGGCTTGCTCTGTGCCTCAGGTCAGCCCTGGGAGCCTGAGGGGACTGGGGGACTTCAGAGGCAAGCACTCCGGCAGGGCTGAGGGGACTTGGTGCCACCATCTTGTGGCTGTGGGTATCACCATCTTTGAGTGCATGGCAGTCAACTAGAATATTCCTTCCTTATTGGCTCTTGGCACTGCCATCTTTGAGAGCAGGAAAGTCAATTAGCATATTCCCTCTTTATTACAATAGATAGGATTTGTGGGTACTACAAAAGTATTAACTTAAAAATTAGCCTGCTGTATTTGGTCAAACATTTAATTAACTCATCACTAATGCCTTAGCAGAGCCAGACCAAATGATTTTGTGGGCCTTACACAGTCTGTTGGCTGGACATTCCCCATCCCTGATTTAAAAGAATCCCACTGT